CGAACCCCCTCAAAAAAAAAAAACTTAAAAATAACCAAAAAAAAAAAAACATGTAAAAACAAGAAAACAGTAGCTGGCAATAGTTGGTTACCCTTAGAATGCGATTCTTCTAGGATGGTGTTCAAGCCACAGATAGGTCAGGTCATTTTTTTTATCCAGCACCAAACAAAATGGAAGCTCATTTGACCTACCAGAATTTTCTATTAACTGGTATTTTTAGCTTTTTCTAATATGATAATTGATGCTTATGATAACATCATGATACTGCAGAACTTTTAAAAAATGTTTTTATTATTTCTTTTTTTTACTTTTTGCTAAGGGGCATGTGCGCTCACCAAAGAGGGAAAGTAAGAAAGCACCACCCAGGAGAGATGGCCATGCCTCAGTCCCTTCTCCATCCTCCTTGGGATTTTAGGCATGTGTGCACACACACCCAGCATGTCCCTTAAGCTGCTGCATGTGGGATTCAAACTACACAGTCAGCCATATGGACTCCAGCTGGCTTAACCACTATGCTACCTGCTGGCCCAGTAATTGCTTTTACCTAGAATCTATCATTAACCAAAAGTTCCCTTTCCAAACCATATTGAATAATAGGATTTCCCATACATAGACTATGCAGAGTATCAGCGCCTGAGAGATCCTCAGAGATTATCTCCCCAAGGTGACAGACACCTAACCCAGATGGCCACCCCACCCCCCTATCCCCATGCTAGCAATTAACCGGGGCACTGTTTTCCACTGAGCTTAGCCTTGGCATCAGAACCCTGCTACCAGCACTCTAGGTAACAACCCTCGGTTGCATGGAGTTAGCCTAAACAGGAACTTGACTGCTTCCCACTATTCAGATGGAAACTTGAAGCCTAGAAAACAAGGGATTTTCTCAAGGTCTTACAGAACTTATAAATTAGAATTAGAATTCCCTCTGCTCTTCAGTGCCACCTCTGGGACATCCTGGGATAGGCTGAGCCTCTTCCACAGCATTCTCATCCGTTTGGAAAGAGATTTCCCATCTTCCCTTTGTAACAATAAGAAAAAATAGAGGACTGGCCCGTTAGCACGGAAGTTAAGCCCTGCCTAAAGGGAACCAGCTCTCACACGGGCAACTGCTATTCGAATCCTGGCTCCTGCAACTTGAAAAAAATGCACGTGGCACATGTGTGTGCATGCATGCCCCAAATCCCTACGGGATGGAGAAATGGAGGAAAGAAGATTGCAATGTGCCCACACCCCACTGGGGATGCTTTTTCTCCCTCCCTCTCTCTCTGGTAAGCAGTCTCTGGCAATAAAAAGAGAAAGAGAGAGAGAGAGAGAGAAGGAAGGAAGGAAGGAAGGAAGGAAGGAAGGAAGCAGTTGGACTTCTGACTCACCAAGCCCTCAGTTGGATGGAACTGTAGGCACAGTCTGGTAGGGGGTCTCATGAAACGGGGCGTGTCTTTAAGGTTGGGATTTACACATAGAATCACAGTGAACCTAGCTCTTCTGTAACATGCAGTACCCCTTCCACAACCTTGGGCTTATATTCAAGTTCTTGTAGAAACAGGGGGTTACTATTCTTGAAATAAATTGCAGAGATAAAGACAGATAGGGTAAGAGAGGCTATGGATTAAGAGACTTAAGGGAAAATTTCCTTAAGTTAATGAGCCATCAGGGAAATGCAAATTCAAATCACAACGCCACAGAATGACTTGAGAAAAACCGAGTGTGGATGAGAGAGGAAGTGGGCTTCATAATTTACTGGTAGAAGTGTAAATTGGTATAACCAAATCGGAAATTAGTCTGGCAGTATCGACAAAACTGAGAGCCTATAGTTCCACTCTTAAGAATGTGAGTGTGGGGAACCAGCAGTTGGCGTAATGGCTATGTCGCTGGACTCCCACGTAGTCGACCACGGTTCGTGTCCCGGACCCGGTGGCTTAAAACTCACGCCGGGCGCGTGTGCGTGCGTGCCCAAGATCCCGAGAGGAGAATGGAGGAGAAGGGATTGCGGCGTGACCATCCCCCCTGGGGGGTGATTTCTCGCTTTCTGTCTCTATGTCTCTCTCTGTCTGTCTGGCGAGCGCACGCGCCCTAC